TGGGATTTGTTTTTGTATATATATATTTTTTAATTCCAATAAAGTGATCTTACGTGACCCTTGCGAAATGTAAAACATAACATTAGACAAGTACGAAAACACGATAGTAGTATATATTAGACTATGTATTGTCGCTCCTTTTTTACGTTAATCCATGCATTTATACCACCAGCCGACCCGGCATATTTTTGTATCATATGACCATATTTTTTGAAGTGTAAGGTGATTCCAGTGCCGTGCGAAGATTTGTAAGTGCTTGAAGTGAGAATAAGAAATGAAACTATTTGTTGTGTTTATACACAATTATCTATATATTGTGTATAAATATTTTTATCTGATTATCAATATTGTCAACTATTTGTTGTGTTTCTCTAAAGCTTTTATTTGTTGACCCTTTAAATTAAAACTCCAAGACGTTAATGGTTTCAAAGGAAGATTCATCTCAATTTTATAAAAGACTCCAAATTATATATGCTCGATGGAAATTTTAAGCCCGGGGAAATCTAGATCATATTAGTTTTCTCCACTCCAAATTGTAATATATAAATTGTGAAAATTTTGAAGAAAAACAATTATGGGGCAATTTGTAATATATATAAATATACAATGTAAATTTAATAATTGATAAAAAGTTTTTCAAAGAGAATATACTTAAAATATTCTTTTTGAACAAAAAATGAGGCAATACATTGGAGAAAAACTCAACTCCATTTTGAGATTTTTTCATTTTGGAGTCAAATATGGGTTAATACATTGGAGATGTCCCTAATAGAAGAAAGTTTCAAAGGAAGATTCATATTCTTCCCTACCTTAATCATAATCCAAAGATTTGGTTTTATGGTCGATTAAAATAAACTCTAACCTAGATTCCTCTGCGCTTTAACTCGAAGTCGAAATAAAAGAAGGATAAAAGAAAAACAGAAAAGAGAGAATATTCATCCGGAGTTGATTTCTTGATGTGAGATAGCTACGTCTCCAAAGTTGGAATCTCCAGCAATTCACTAGAACAGCTCAAAATCGAACTCTCAAGCCCTCTGATCTGTTGAAAATTTTCTCAAATCTAATAAGGGAATCTTAGATGAAAGAGTATACCACTTTATATAGTCATTTTACACTTTTCATACACATATGTTAATAAACACGCATGCTTTTGGTTAAGCATAAACCAGCTTAACCACTTTTTCATTTAAACCGGAGGCACTAATATAATTAATTAGAGTTATACCAACTGAACCCTAAACTCATGACTCATCCATGCATACACAAACCACGAGAATAAGAGATACTCCGGAGTATTAAACTGGCGGCAACTGTGATTCGACTTCGGATTTGTTTGCCTTCAAGTAGATCAAGAAATCATTGAGGTCACTGAAGTTATTGTAGACGACGGCGGAGAGCCAGAGAAGCCAGAGAAGAAGAAGGACTAGGGCAAATGTTGCGCAGGGATCATCTTCTCTTTGAATGCGACATGAGCTGGCGGATCTGGAGATCGGTGGCAAGGAGATGTAACATGCAGCCGCTTCGATCCTGGGATCAGTCCATTAACCAGATGATCTCTCTATCTTCTGGAAAACTATGGCGCAGACTATCGCTTATTGCATGGCAAGCTTCAATATACTGGATCTGGTCGGAGAGGAATGGAAGACTTCACCGTGGAGTCTTCAAGACGGAAAACTCCATCGTCACCTCCATTGATCGACAAATAAGGAATCGGATTGCTAGTTACCGGGAATCAAACACCGGCTTGGCATCTCGGCTTCTTCAACTTTGGCTCTCCTCTGCACCGTAATCGTCGCTCTGATTTCTTAGGATGGGTTTGATTGAAACTCTTATTTCCGTTTAGACTATGGGCTGGGCTTTTAATCTTAACTATTATGTACCAAACTAGCAATGGGCTTGCTTAAACACTATAGCTTTATGGCTTGTAATTTTTTCTTCTTCCTGTTTTAAATATGAATGCCTTTGGTAAAAAAAAAAAAAAAAAAAAAAGTAAGTAATTGTGTCAGCTCTCTCTTTGTCGGGACCACACAGACTCGGAGACTTTACACTTTCTCTCTGCGTATCTCTATTACGGAGGAGGACGTGTCTTATCTCCGTTTTAGTCCCTCTGTACGGAGCCGTTTCCATTCTCTCTGGCCCCACTTTGGATACCTCCACATGTTTTTACGGTTATTGTAAGTTTGTAACAATAAGTTTTGTGAGCTAGTTTAATCATGGCTTAAAATGTATAGTTGTGGAATTTCTCTGACGGACATTCGGAGACACCCATGCTAATAATGATTAATTTATCACGGCTGGTTAATATTCTGGGTGAGCCGGACTATTAATTCCACGGAATATACAGTACAAGTTCGTTTGAAACCGACACGACACATTCCCATGTTATAGTGAGATGACTAGTGGCGGACCCAGGTTGGGGTCAAGGCACAAACATAAACATAAGTGTTAGATTAAAGGTTATATGTTTTAAAAATTTCAGTTTGAAGGTTTGAAATAATAGTTAAAATAATATGACTGGGATTTTTATGCGATTTTCCCCTTTTTAAAATAATTATAATCTAGTTTTGAACACATGAAAATTTTATATTTAGACAAAACGATCTAAAAAAAAACTTTCACAAATATTTCACCAAATTCTCATCACCAACCAAGATTTTTAACACCCTCATAAATTATATAAAATTTCCTGGTATTAATTTTATTGTGCATGACAACTAATTGAGAATCTAAATTTATATTACCTTTGTAGATAACTCAACCCAAAAAGCACACACATATATATATATATAAATACATTATATATATATATATATATTTTTTTTTTAATTTTAGTTTCCTTTTCCGTTGTAAATATTTTATTTCCTTATTTCCTGATTTAAAATACATTTAAATAAATCCAAATAATTGCAGATACATTTTTCCAAAACGACAACTAATTTAAAATAGAAGGAGTATAAACAATCTCGTACTTTTCACTTCCTCATAGAAACATACTCAAACTTGTCCCTTCCTCATTGAAAAATACTGACCACTACCATTACACCAAGCTAGAATTTTTTTTTTGTTAAAAGGCCTTACACCAAGCTAGACTTTAAAATATATATGAGGAGCCCCGAAATCTTTAAATATATGGGGCATGCATGTGGCTCATGCCTTTTTTTACATAACGTTAGGTAGGCGCGGCCCTAATTGACCCCATTTTCTTGAGTTCGAATGAGCCTCATGAGACCTTTCTAATATTGTTCATTTTTGTTTGTTTCTCCAAAAATTCATACTTTTGTTTTATGTTTTCCTAAATATCCACTTACTTTCTCGATTTCCCTAAATTGTTTATTTCCATCTTTCATGTGTGTGTAGTGTGTAGAGTGAAAGCTTGTGCTCAATAATCAAAAGAACTATCACCTATAGCCGCGACAAGAAATGCGACAGCACCAAGAACGAGCGCATGAACAGAAACAAAAGTTTGTCATCAAAATCGATCCAACGAAAAAGGTTGTACTTATAGAAGTGGATGAAGATCATTGCATGCGAAGTGGAAATAAACAGCTATATATACATATATAGCTCATGAACCGCAGACGCGATTTCGATTTGAGGATGATTTCTCAAACGATGTGGTGCTTGGTGAGTTCAAGGATAGAGAGTATAGATTTGGAATTTAACTATTGACAGTTTCTTGCTCGATGATTCTCTCTTTGAAACTTGCAGAGTATGTGTATGTATATATACATTTTGCCAACACAAAAAACACCATGCCTTGGCAACAAATTTGAATTTGTTTCTAATCTTATCATTTCGCTCACTGTAGACTGAGATTAAAATCACCTTCATGGGATAGTCCTCCAAGACCATCCACTTTGAAGACCAAGAAGAAACTTCTTCCTTACCTTGAAGCAGCCGACCTGGAGACGTCTAGCCAAGCAGCATCACACCAAGAAGAGTACCTTCTAGCCACACCAGAAGAGGAGATTGAACCCTGAGCTGATCGAGTTCGTGAAGAGAGATCAATTCCATGATCTGTTTTCAGAGTATGCGCTGGAGCACATAGATCACTTTGACAACTTTGTGATTCCTATGGAGTTTTTGACTTTGAGAAGAAGATGATGCTATTCAGCACATCACTAGCTGGACCAGCACTAGATTGGGCGCAGCATGAGCCACCTCTACAATCGAGTCATGGATCGATTTTAGAGAAGCTTTCTTGAAGAGATTTGCAAGGCCACCTTTCAAATCCAAGTACCACCACTACTCTCATCAGCTGGAGAGAGAGCGTGATGAAGAAGAATGGGGAGGCATACCACCTCATCCTGAAGTTTGAATGAAGAGCTAATCAAGCATGTGGAGAGGAATCCTTTCTACAATTCTATTCAGAATGTGCAAAGGAGCATCTATGCAACTTTGAGCAGCTTTGCATGACTATGGACTTGGAGACAACCCCAAGAAGATACAACTTTTCCAACTATCACTAGCTGGACAAGCCAAAGACTGGGCTAAGTTCAATGCCCAACATGCTTTCAAGACTTGGAATGGATACAAAGGAGCTTTCCTCACAGATTTGCCAAAGGTCCTATTTATGTCCCACCACCACGCCCAAGCTATTCACAACACCATCCATCATCACCAGACATAAACAAGACACCACTTTTCCCAAGGGAGAGCTATCAAGCTGCGCGCCAAACCAAGATTGAAGATATGCTTCAAGAGTACTTGAGAAATCAAGAAGAGAGTACAAAGAAGATGGAGAGAAGAATCGATTTCATCCATGAGAGCCTTGGAAACAAATCTGAAGTCCTATTCAAGCAAGTGATCAAGCTTGATGAAGACATTAAGAAGTTAAGAGAGGATCATGATCGATCTTTGACCCTAGTTAAGCTTGATGTTGCTTCCAAATATCAAGAGTTGCTGAACAAGAGCATGAGAATTGAAGATACTAGCTATGGCAATAGCAAACATCTTGGATTCAATCTACAACCGCCTACAAGCCCTTGAAGGATCATCTCATGCCAATTACAAGAGAGAGAGGAGTCCAACACCCAACCACCCTCCCTTTTATTGCAATGCCATCACAAGAAGAAGCACTACTCAAGTCCATGAGGACAATGAAGAAGAAGAAAGAGAGTATGAGGAACAACTTGAATGATGAAGATGAAGAGCAGAGCATCGACATCAATGCTTCCCAAAACAGAGCATGGATACACCAAGCCCTAGAGACCCTCGTTTCTCACCAAGAAGTCAAGCTTCTACACTTCCAAGACTTGGAAGCAATGCAAAGACCATCACCACCTACTGAAGAAGAAGATACTTGGCAGTATGATCCCATTGATCCCAACAAGATAAGCCCCATGAAGCTTAAAGAGTTCAATGCTAAGGTGAAATCACTTCCATTCTATGTCACTTTTGAAGAAGCTTGGGATAAACATGGTCTAGTGGAGTTCTTTTTCACAACTAGTGAAAACAAAGAAGAGATACACAACTTTCAGGAAGGCTCGATTTCCCATTGCCCCTCATGGAGTCAATCAACCACCATCACCACCATCATCACCACCAGTGGTATGTCAATTCCATATCAAGAGAGAAGCTTGCTGAGTTCAATCAGTTTGTCCAAAGTAGGTAAAATAGAGGTATATCAGACTCTAAACCAGTTCAATGCCCCTGCATCAACTTTGGATGGAGCTAGAAAAAGATCTACTCAATGGATTTCATCAAGACCAGTTCCCTGCGTGCTCTGATTGAGTTAACTTTCCAACGCAACTGGAATGGCTTCATTTGGATGAGTAGAAAAGGAGTTATAGCCAAAAGAGTGAAGGCTGCTCCAGACGGCTATATCGAGAATCAGCGCCGAACGCGCAGTCCGGCTGGCCGAGGAACGAATGTTCCGCGCTCGGCCAAAACCGTATCCGTCCGACTGATGTCTCGGCCAAAGTCCAACCACTCGGCCGATCACACACACGACCCGGGAAACATAAGCCCGCGGTCGGCCACGCCACGCCACCCGCGCACGACCAAGCGCGCGAGCCGGGAAACGCCTCGCGGCCGCGCAACTCGTCCGTACCACGGCCGATGCATCCGTCCGACCCGGGAAAGAACGCCCGCGTCCGGCCGAGAAACCATCGGCCAAATCTTCATCCGTCCGACCACGCCGGCCGACCGTCATAACATCCGGCCACGACCGTTCCGACTCGGCCAAAGACCCGACTGTCCGGCCGATCGTCCCGACGACCGTCCGAACGCCGCGGTCGACCCGAAGCCGTTTTTGAAGCCCAATCCGCACAATTCAAGCCCAAAGCCGGCGCCGACCTAGCTAGATTAGGTTTAGCCGCCTTTACATACTTAGAGCATTATAAATACTTCTTTTTAGCCTTGTAACTCAAGAAGGAGAGAGACCACAATCTATTTTACATCTTAATAAAGTTTTGCTTGCTTTTACTTTGTTCTTGCTTGTTACTCTTTCTAGAGAGGATTCGAATCTCTGTTCTTATGAATATGAATTCGTTTCCTTCTCTATGTCTGAGTAGTTTACTTGTTAAGTGATAGGAAGTCAAAGGATAGCATTCATGTATGCTTGATGATTGATCACAATTAGGGTTTTACTTATAATCTCCATCTTTGCTTATACTTAATGCTTGTTGTTAATCTGGCCAATTAGCATATGCCTTTAGGTTGATTTGAGCCTCGACAGTGCTGTATCATTCGCCTGAACTAGTATTTGGTGGGCAATCTCTTTTAGACTGCGACAGTTGATCTACTTGTAGGTTGTGAACAATTGATCTTATCGAACTAATGCTTGATTTAATCACCTAGGGACATACCAAAAGTTTAGCGACTAGGTAGATTAACAAAGGGGTCGGAGCCTCGACAGTGGAATGATCATACCATAGTGTTTCAAGTTCTAGATTAGCACCTAAGTGCGGTAACCCTAATTGATTGATTTCATGCTTCTTGAATTGCTTATCTCAAGACTATCCTATTGCTTAGCTTTCTCTCCTATTGAATTTCCTTTTATTACTTGCATGCTTTACTTTCTCTGCACTCAACCAACTTATACTTTTGCCCTAGCTTGTTCTCAAACTCATAACTTGTAGTGTGCAATCTGGTCCTTGTGTTCGATACCCGTTTACTACTTCTGACCTGTGCACTTGCAGAATCAGGGATAGGAAAGGGGAAGACCTGATCCCGCGATCAGTGACATGTGTGATTTTTTCGTTAATGAGACTGATACTTATTGATTTTGCCTATATTGTTAATTTTGTGAGATTCAAATTTTCTCGATCACTTCATTAGATCTTAGGGGTTCTTGTTTTTTTAAAAGAACAATAAGTATGTTATTTTTTCGTTAATGAAACTGATAATTATTGATTTTATCATTATTGTTAACTTAATTTTCATTATCACTACATTAATTTTTGACTTGTTATCAATAGAACGACATGAGCGAATCAAGTGATGTTTTAGAAAAAGAATTTCTTTTCAGGTTTTGTTTTAACTAGTTTATTGCTCTGAATTTATGTAATGATATTTTGCTTTCCCATGCATATATACTCCACATCTCTTCTAAAAAGTATTTTTCTGTTATCTAAGGGGCGTTATTCAATCATGATTTTTAATATAGTTTAAATCCAATCATTTAATCCATTGTTATTTAATCATGGTTTCGAAATTTTTAACCAAATCTAATGTTATTGGTTTAAATATTTTAAACACTTTCTAGTGTTATTGGTTCTTGTATTTACAATTTCTTTATTAAAAGAGTTTGAAATCTTGTGTTATTGAATTAAGTAGTTGAATAGATCAATAAAGAGGTTTGTGCAAATTAACCCTCCAATTAAATTAAATTTGCAAATCAAACCTGAATTTTTTCCTCTGAAATTAAACTAACCAAGTCAAAAGTCACCCACTAAATAAGCACTTTGTGTGGTTGTCATCAAGTTCAAACGTTGACATAAAACATGTTGCTTTGCCCTTTTAAAATTTGTGTTGTTTCTGCAAAAAATTGGTCAAGGCGAAATAATTAACAAACCAGTATAAACCAGGAAAACAATTAGGTTAACTTTAATTAATAAGCGTTAAATATCTTATTATATAACAACACATTTTTTTGTTCATTTAATTCTTCACATTTTTTTGTTCAATTTATGCTCCTTTTACTTTTCCGAGGATTCTAACATTTGGAACCATCAAGTTTATCACGCTTCATGCGTTCTTTAGACTCACTAGCAGCTTGATATTGTCCTTCTCGGACACATCAATTCTTATTAGATCATCTAAGGGCCTGACTGGTTTAACCGCTGCGGTTGCGGTTGCGGGTGCGGGAGTTTGCGAAGCGGGCGGTTGTGATTAGTAGCGTTATTAAGCGGTTTGTACGACTGGCATAACAATTGAAAATGGATGCGTTTGCGGGTTACTTATGACTGGTTCACTTGCGGATGCAATAGCGGTTAAACAATAAATTAATAATATAAACACATTATATAATTATAAAAATATCAAAAATATTTTAATGAAAATTTTAAATTTATGGTTCAACATAATTAAAAATATTTTTTTATAAATAATAATATGTGTATAATACTTACGTCTATCTTTTAATTTCTATAATTTAAATAAAAATGTGATTTTATTTTCAAAATATATATTTAATGTGAAAATTAAATTTATTTTACAATTTTATTTATGATATATGAAAAGAATATTTATGAAGAGAATTTTGATTTGTAGAACTTATAAATATATAAGTATTATATGATTTTAATGAATATTGACTAAAAGTACTAATTTTTTATTTATATTGTGATTTTATTATCCAAATCTTATTTTTTAATAAATATTATTATTTATTTTCGGATTTTATATAAGTTTGTGTTTTTTTTTTTTTTTTTTTTAATTATCCACCCGCAACCGCCCGCAACCGCTAAACGCTTGCGGAAATGAGCTTTTGATTTTCAGCGATATAGAGCGGTATAGAGTGGTAAAGAGCGAATTAAAGCGGTTGTCGTGATTGTTATAAACCGCCAAAAACCGCTACAAACCGCAAACGCTGCGTTTGCAAGTGGTAGCGGGAGAACCAATCAGGCCCTAAAGCTGGTAAGTGATTCAATCACTATATTTGGGTTAGTAAATGTATCTGGCAACTGATACAATAAGTTTTGTGAATGAATTATCTTATGGACTTCTATTTCACATTCTATAGTCCGAAGATCAATTATAATTCATTCAAACTACTTTTCTTTTCCAGCCTTTTATTTTCTCCCCCTGATGTTGGAAAGACTTATCCATTAACATGGTAGTCTATAAATCGAGCCTTACTTAAATCCTTGAGGGATAGCTCTAGATATTATCAATGGAGATTCATATCCAACATCTACAATCTCTTTGAAGATCCATCTTATATTGCTGTGGTGGAGCAATGTGGATGTTGCACACCCAAAAGTTTCTGACCCAAAACTAATTTTGATGGGGAGAACTTTTAGTTACTTGTTGGCTTTATGCGAGTTAATGCTTGTGCATTATGTGCAATGATGAACATTTTCTACTGGATGTTTAACATTTATTCTTACAAACATGTTTTTCTTTCACCATAGACTTAAGATGTGATTTCACTAGTATTACTAAGTCATCTCGCAAACTTCAGGTTGCAAATTTATTTCATTGATACATACAACTATTTTGTTGATGCATTATAAAAACACAATGAAATTTCTTATAGAGGATGATTAGTCCACAAAATGGGTTATTAAACCACATGTTTCTTGTATATTCTCTAGAAAATGAATTGAATTAAAATCTATTTTGGCTAGTGATAACTGTTGTATTATCATACTCTCTTGTGATAAAATATCACATTAGAAATTATTAAGAAGAATCTTCTAGTTCTTCAGTAAATGTTTACATATTGTATTTTACTTCGCATAATTCTTGAACTGGAATGGTTTACCAGTTCATGCCAAATTATGTTAAATTCAGTAAACTTCTGGTTTACTACATAACATCTATTTAACTTTTCCTCATTTATTGTATATTGAAATTCCTTGGAATTACTTTATATATGATTCATCAAGATCACTCATCTTTGAGTATAATCTTCTGGATTATGAGTTTGGATTGTGGGATTCATCCATTCTCCCCCTCGAGATGATGATACTTCAGGTTCATCTATCTCGAATTGAATTCCAATATAAAATCAATAACCTCTTTAACCATTTACTTGTATATCACATTCACGTCATGGAATTGATCATAACCAATTAGATATCATTTTCATCAATGATTTAATATTTTCTCAAACTAATGTAAAATGTCTAAGATTATTTTGTCTACAGGACAATACGACAATATTATTTAGAGTATGCTTTTTAGCATCTCTATACATTGATATACATTATTTTCTATATAGTTAAAATTTATTTACAGACTTCAGGTCTTGTAATCTTTTATGAAAATTTAAAATATTCATATAGAGAATAATAATAATATAAATAAAAATATATATATAAATAAATAGAGCATAATCAAAATAAATATTAATAATATATACCATTTATTATCACTTCTGGTGACAAATTTAGTTTAAAATAAAATCAGAAAGATAAGATATAATTTGAATAAATTCTCAAATTATATTATCACTTCAAGTGATAATGTTTTTGTGAGTGATAATGTTTTTGTGTCTACAGGACAAAAAAATTTTCTTGATGTATTTTTTTTTTTTTTTTTTGTCAACAGCCTCTGGTCC